GTGCCAAAGCCCTTTCTGAAAATTAAAAAAGCACAGCTCTTATGATGGAGAGCTGAAGAATTCTGCTTTTAACCTCACTGCGGCCAACCCCACCCCTTGTTACCTCTCTTTAGGCCAACCCTTGCCCATTTTCCAGTCCCTGCACTAATCTCTAGCTCTCTGTCTTAACTCAAAGCTCCCTGCATGGACTGCATCACTCAACTCCAAAAAGATGAGATCTACTGAATTTCCTTGGGGTAGAAAATCAGTTATCTTATCACAAAGTTATTAGATTAGTCTGGCAAGCTCTATCTTTAGAAAATCTGTGTCACATTTTATCCCATTTTCCCCTCAACAACATGTCTTTAATTAGCCTTTGCTTCAAAACCCATTCTAAGGCCTCGCATATTATTGACGTTACACTAAGGGGCTGGAATTTTCCTTGGATCATTTCTCATCCTTTTCAAATATTGGGTGCTGCTATTATTAATCCTTAGAGTTACGGTACCACACTCTGGGCTTTGTCAAAAATATTTCTCTCTGACCTTCTGGTTTCATGAGGCAGCTCTTTCCCATCTCTGGGACAGAGGTTATCTGGTCACCCCAATTTGAGTGCATTAAGCCGCATAATTTGCTCTCTTTTTGATTACTGCTCTTCCATTTCCATAACCTTGTTGTTATTATTTAGTTTTCCTTTCTCCCCAGGATTTTCTTCCTGAGAACAGGAGCAAAGTATTCACATTTGGGTGATAGCATCTGTTAGCATTGATGCACACCTCCCCCGGTGCCTTCTCAAGGCCAGGACATAAACATACTGATTTCATCTCTGCACTCCAGGAAGAGAGGAGAAAAAAGGATACGACCATGGTTGGGAACAGAGACAGGACTCAGCCTCACAACCAGTCAGAGAAGAAAAGGGATATTTGCTGTGGTCACTCTGTGTGAGCCCAGCACCCTTGGGGAACCCATCCATACGTGTATAAGCAAGCGATTAAGGTGGATCAAGTTATCATGGCTTAAACGTCTGCCACTCATCAGCTGAAGGGAAGAACAGACTCTGGGCCCTGAAGGACCAAAAGGAACATGTCAGAGGTGGCTCACGATGCTGAGCAGATGTCTTGGGATGCTGCCAGCTGCCAAGTTGCCCTTTGCAAATAGGCTCTGCCTTGCGTGAGGCTGCTCTCAACCAGCTCTGGGACAACTGGCAGCAATGCGCTCACCTCCAACGAAATTTGGCTAAACATTTGGGGAGCCCCGTAGGCTGCACATCAACATGGGATGGGGCAAGAAGACATCAGACGCCTGCAGGGCTCACCCATGAGGAGCCTGATGCAAAAGTGCCATTGCCCATCACTGTCCTTTGGTTAAAATTGCCAAAATGGACTTCAGCCCTCTTTAAAGAAATGTCCTGGGCTCCTCTTGCCAAGACCTGCCTCCAGTGAAGCAGCTGTGGGCTGTGAGGGACAGCAATGAATGCTGCAGAAAGCAATCCTATTTCTCCAGTGTACAGAAGAAGACACAGACCTTTTCGTCTACGGACAAGAAGAAACTGTTCATCGAAACTAGTGAAGTTTGTGTCTCTTCCAAATGCCAGCGAGGAGCTTCACAGCCTTCCGAAGTGCTAGGCAAAGGGACAAATCCTCCAGGACTGACATAACATATTACAAAAAGGAATAAAACCACTGACCCTGCTACAAAGCATGGCAGCCTTTGTGCTGAACAATACAGGATGCTTCTTTGCTCTGTCTCTCTGCCTTCAGCCTCCAGTCCCCATATGTAGCCATCCATTAGCCATTCTCCCCAGCACATGTCTAACACCCTGGGTATTTTTTCCGAAACAAACATCCTGTGGATTGGAAGAAGGAAACCAGAGGCCTAGTGCTAGGGGCAGAGCACCCACCTTCGCTAGATTTATGCCAGCGCAGAGCTGCTTGGCACACAGCTCTCTGTCCAGCTGCCTCAGGTAGCACAACACGTCCTGGGAACAGGTGGGGTGTTATTTAAGTCTGGTCTCCCACCACGACAAAGCATATTTTGGACGCAACTTGGGCTTCAGTCTCGGCTAGCTGCTGTACAACCAGCAGTCGATCCATCTGTGAAACCCAGCTCCTTGCAAGAGGTAGAGACAACTGCTCTATTTAAAGCTCCCACTCCTGGGGGAAGGTGAACATTTAGATCCCTGCTCGTTTGACAAGGCTGGGAAAGGGTAGAAACTTTCTGGCATGTCTGCTGCTGTAAAATGAAAAGAGATTAGGGAAGGAGACAGACAGCTCCTGCCTGACTCCAGCCTCTACCCAGAGCAAAAACAGCTCCTCTTTCAGGAGATGAAAACATTGCAAGAAATTAAGGAGATGGATTTTTGAAGATCAGAAGAGGGGAGAAAGAGAGGAAGTATTGGAGTGAAAGGCAGGAAGGGAGCAGAGATGATTTACAAAGCCACATATCAGGAACCTCACTGCTGGAGTATGTGATTGTGCTGGGAAGTGTCACACAGCTCCGCTGGGAGACCTCCATGCTGTACTTCAGATAAGAAACCGAACATTTGTTTTTTATCTGAACTTCATAGCCTTTGAGATCCTGCCAGAGCTCTGCCTCTCTCCGTATGCGTATTTTTTCCAGTGTGGAAGCTGATTTTGCTTTATGCGTTTGCAATGACAGGTCGTGAATCAACACCACGGAATGATGCAATATCACAGCACAGGACACAGGCCATGGGATGTAACACATGGGGAATTTTTTGGTTTGGGTCCCTGCATTTAAGGGACTAAAAAAGAGTACTAAGAAAAGCCTAGAAATTGAACTGGTTTCAAGGTTCCACTTATTAAGAAATATTTATCCGAGCCACAAAAATATATCAAGCTCACAGCACTTAAAATCCTTCAGCTGCCATCCATCCCACAGCTTATTTGAGAAGCCATCCCCTGTGAAGCTGTTGGGTCCCCCCCACACACACCCCGTGTTTGCACTTATGGAATTGGTGCTTGCTGGGCAGCTGATGGCTGGGAACATTTCCTCCCTCCCAGGGAGGCATGAAAGGCTGGAGCTCGGCTTAGTGGCAGTGAGACACGGTCAGGGTCTGTACGGAAGTCAAATAAAAAAATTACAAGCAGCAAGATTTCAAATTAACATCCTGATGCTTCACGTTATTCTTCAGAAAAGCAAAGTCCTGCCTTTGATCTCGGGAGTACAGGCACGCAGGACCAGAGCCTCAGCTACACAAAGAACCTCCTGCACAACGCTGGCAGCACGCACAGACCTCGACATAACCACCAGGTACACGGACACTCGTTTGCAGACCCCTGCTTTGAGATTCCTGAGATTCACATTTTGGGACATCAGTGGGTCAATCAGGCCTCTACAGTCAAGTAAGGGCACGCTGCGAAGTCTGGTCTTTGTGAAATCCAAAGCTTGTCTCTGGCACGATTTATTTTTCCCTCCCACCTGATTAATTCTGGGCTGCACTCCTCAGGCTCATTCCCACCTGCGGGACGAGCAGGACAACAGCCACCACTTCAATTCATTATGAAATGAATTCTTGATGGCAACTTTAAACTAAGTGCTGATTTGTTCCTCAGCATTCATAATTTTTCTTCTAGCTTAATACAGCTGTCCCCAACTTTAAGGGATTTTGAAACTTCTGGAAAACCATCTAACCAGTTGATGGTGTTTTATATATATATATGTGTGTGTGCATACACGCTGACAAAATATAACTTGCTAGAATGATGCAGATCATGCTTTTTAAATGCACAAATACCAATACCTTCATTTTTAAGACAGGAGATTTAGAGCACAAGCACTATTGCCTTATTTGCAGTCCTACCTAAATACTGAAACAGAAATTTAATTAATTGTGCCTTTTCAAGACCAAGTGCTAGGTCCTCAGGAAATGTGTAGTACCTATAAGTCCTGACATTTCAGTAGGGATGCAGAGCGCTGCACTTCTGGAAATGAGGGTCAAGACGTTCACACTGAAGGGAAGCAATTACAGTCAATATTTGAAATATGAAACGCTCCAGATTTAGCTTTCAAAATTCAACATCTTTCTTCAATTAAATATTCAATAGCCATGACTACAAAAATCTGATGCAGATCACAAAGTAAAGTACTATACTCTCTGCTGAAAGAGCATGTCAAGGCCAGAGTCAACAAAGCACAGCTGCTCCGATGCAGGTTGTCACAGCTAATCATGTAGATCGTTCCTCTGCTTTCTGTGTTGCAGGGAAGAATGCACCTACTGCCGTGTGAGAGGCAGACTGCTGAAGATTGTTTTTTACATAGAAATTTGTAAAGTAGTATCAGTGAGTAATTTCTACTTTGGCAGATTCATAATGCCTTTTCATATGAAAATCAAAACCAAGTATAAGCTTGATTCCAGCGCAGCCCTAGATCATGCTGTTATACATGTACATAATAATAAAGCAAAACAGACACTAAAAGCATATCCTGGCAATAAATACTTTAGGACTTCATTAGAAAACCAAAAGGTCACACTTGATACACGAAAAAGTCAAATTATCCAGGCTGACATTTACAACTAATTTGAACTGACATTAGCATGAAAAATACAATTTTACTGCAAGAGGTAGCATTACCTATAAGTTTAAACGTGCCCTTTCACCATTAGTGCTGAAAACAAAGCAGTGAAAATCTCTGCAGCCCTGCCAATTAGATCTCGGTATTCTAGAGCGAAGCGTTACGAAGCAGACAATTAGCAGAAGATTTCAGCCCCTCATTACCAAGCCGAACCTACTAGTGAGAGAAAAAAAGCAGGCGAGCAGATGATGGGCTCGATCCAGCTGTGAGATATTCAGGCACCCATTACCATGCAACCACCGGCTTATCCACGGATGTGAGCAAATACCAGAGCCGATTTCGCAACGCACGCAGCGACGAGCCCGAGCATCCGTGCACCTCTCCGGGAAATAGAGAGAGCCCTCTGCCTGCCTGCTAAATCGCTGTCACTAGGAGAGAGAGAGACATTATTCTGCACAAAGCACCAGATCGTGGTGTGGACTTACTTCAACTGTCGAGGTTCGCAGTCAACTCCGGGCAGTAAGAGCCTCGCTGCCTGCCGTACGTCATCACTGTCCACCGAGAAGCTGCGACGGTGCCCCGCGTGAGCCACGGCAACCCGTATCCACTCCATCAGGGGAGGCAGCACAATGAATGGCCTGGGAAAAGCACACAGACATGAGTGCTGTGGTAGAGCAGCAGCAAAATCACAGGTATAGGGTGCACGTGTGTGTGTGTATGTGTGTGTGTGTGCAATGTACAGAGAGCACAAACAGGGAGAGAGAAGGGAAGATGCAAAACGAAACCATGGGAGAGCAACTGGCTCAGCAAATTTCACGCAGGTCTAAATCAAGATGTCTCGCCCTGTCTCTAAAGCAGGATTATCTGAAGAGTGAGATTTATGAGCCACGCTCATCTATGGGGCTCCTGTGAGGTCGGTGCGCCCCCCCCAGCAAGCCCACCCCCCACCTCCCACTTCACACCACGTATCCCAAAAAGAGGGCAGGAGCCCGGCACAGGACCACGTCCCGCTCTGGGTCACACACTGGGGCTGGGGGTGCTTCCCTGCTGCTCTGCAAGGACTAACCAGGGCGGAGAGAGGGGACCCCCACACCCCAGGGGTGCCTGGAGTGCAGAGGCGATGCACAAGGCTGTCTCCAGCAGCTCCCATTGATGTGATGTGCACTTTGTGCTTGGAGCTGAAAGCAGGACCTCTGCAGCTGATCCCACTGTGTTGTTGAGGTTATCTGTGAGCAGCATCAGAAATCAGCCCGGTTCATTTCACTTTTTCACTTTGCAGCCTACCGCTGGCTGTATGAGATTGCTACACCTTTAGGTACCAGCTGTTCTGCCACTTGAGCAAAAATACAGAAAAGTGCCCCCTAAAATGCACAGTGGGACTTGGCCACAGCCCCCTCTGGAGCAAGGTCACTGCCAGAGGCACCGTCCCTCACTTCACAGGACCTGGACAGCCCCATGTCCTAGCAGGAGCTGCCCAGGCCTTACACAAAGCACACAGCACACAGTTTGCCCACATCTACACTAAAAATTATTTAGGGACCAAGAGAAATGCACCAAACCATGAGTGAGAGCCTTGGTTTCAAGTCTGAGTTTAGAGTTAAAAAAATAAATACATAAAGCATCTGCAGCTGACCGTTTTGGAAGGCCCCTGCCTCTGAGATCATGGTAGACAAAAGCCACAGAGCAACACGGGGTGCAACAACAACTGCCCTTCCATCCCCAGCTGGGCTGCGTGGCTGTCCCGAAGGGTATTCCTCCACGGGCATCCTCTGTGGCTGTACGCAAAGTCTGGGTGGGGAAGGGTTGAGGAAGGGAAGAAGAAATCCCTCTTTATACAAATATAGTACAAAATTCTAAAGATTGTAAGATCATTAAAAAAAAATAATAATTCTGTTCAAGAGCAACCTGTAAACTATGCTGGGAGTCCTGTGCTTAGAGAGGAGCGCTGAAAACTCCTTAGACACAGCGAGACTGCTTTCCTCCAAACTGCAAAGCGGGTACCCCAGCTAGGGGATATTAGCAGAGATTGTTATAATATGAGAGAGAGAAATGAAGCGTATAAATGAGTGCCGTCCTCAAGGAACATCTGTAATTAACCTGCTCCCACCTTCTTCTTCTGAACCTTATACTTTTTGCTTCATTTCCTTCGTGGCTCCCCTTCCCCTCCTCTTTAGCTAGATATTCCCTCTGTTTATGAGCTCAGTATCTCATCCTAATACTGTTAGTGCAGCAGCATCCCCTGCTTTTGCTGCCTTCCTTTCTCCTGCTTCTTCTTATTCAATATTGCTTTCCCTGCCTTGCCTTTCCTTCCGTGGTCCTTTCCCACAGAGGGAAAAAAAAAAAAAAAAAAGTCTGGATTGGATGCCCAGTAGGCAAATACTTTATATTTTAAATACATAATTTTACCCAAAAAGAATCCACCCTGAGAAAAACGATTTAATAGGATGTTGACTCTGGAATATCCTCATCCTATTTATAGCTCTTTATGCCATTTATTTATCTTTCAAAAATTTGCCTTTACATAGCTCTGACATTAGTATTCTGAAGGGGGGATGAGACATTTCAGAAGCGCTGAAGGACGCAGAAGCCCTCAGGCCGCTAACTTTCCCTGGGACGCCGGGTTCCCAAATCGCACAGGCACGTAAATGCCTAACCTCCTTTTGAAATATGGCATCTTCTGCTGACTTGACACTTCCATTATTATCCCATTTAAATGCGCTTCCATCACCTCAAGACCAGGCTGCGTTTGTTTCTCAGCTTTTACCTTCTCCACACCTGCTGCCACCGTTGAAGCCGGCTGATAAGAAAAGAACAAATTCTCCCGCAGCCGCCGTGAAAAGATTTCCATAACCCAGCTAAATCGCGGTGACGGTCGGAGGAAGCAGAGTGAGTGCTTCTGTGCCTACAAGCGTGCAAAACACTAAGCTGGGAAGCACTGAGGGACAAAAGGGAAGGGAAAGCTGCTGTGTGCCCCCTTGGGGGGCTGGTGCCAAAGGGTTCCCCCATACCTGTGCTCGGCAGGGCAGGCTGCCAGCCCCGGCTCCCCACAGCCAGGTCTGCTGCTTGTTTGCACTCTCTGTGGGTTAAAAAGTGTGCATTTTTCACCCAAACATCGATCCGAGAGCAGGGCTGGCCTCGCTGGCTATTAGAGCGGAGGGCGAGGGGAACAACTGATCGGTGGGAGCTGCTCTCATCACTTACCGAGCACACAGTGGAAAAGAATTGCAAATCACACTGGAAGTGTAAAAACACATATAATTACGCACAAACCTAGGTGCACTGGAAATAATTAATGGGAAACTAAATTCTAGGCTACTGTTTGCGTGAGTGAACACAGTCTGGGTCACAGACCTGAAGATATGCTTGTACAGAGCCTTCCTACAAAAACACAGGGGACTCGGGGACTCACTCTTTCTTCTCCCCTCTTGTGCAGGTCAGAAACTTTCCTAGCAGAAATCCTGATCCGCTGCAGTATAGAGCAGGGCAAATAAAACTGTTTATGAGAATTGTACCAGCCTTTCTATAAAATGTCAAACTTCAACAAGAAAAAAGAAATAAACAGGACTGTTTGGTGCAGCATACCCAGAAAAGGAAGAGAACTGCTATTCTGTGGAAGCCGAGGGACTTTCTCCAATGGCCAGTTGCACTCTGTCCGCGAGGACATGTGATTCACTCTGAATATATTACATTCCTTTTTCCAGAATTACATTCTTTTTTCCAGCAAAAAGCTCTGCTACTGCATATCTGAGCATGTCAGGGAGTTCGTATTTTGAGAAGAGACCCAAATAGGGTTGAGTGCAATAGGTTAAAAATACCCTTCAAGAGTCCATGCACCATGTGAAGGGGTTTTGTGTTTGTCTTTTTTTTTTTTTAATGCTATTTGTGCGCCAAAGAAGAAAGAGGAACACAAAGTTATAGGGAGGTGGCAATCCACAAGATAACGTGCCATCAGCAAGATACGTACCACTTTCCAAATGACACCGTGCAAAAAAAAAAGATGAGGAGAAAGCATCACATCACTAGCACACACAACTGATTTATCTCTGCTGCAACGCAGGCAGGCAACAACCAGGAGAGGTTGGTATTTGTGTTTCAGGGCAGCCAAGCAGCAGATAGGCACCTTATACCTTTTGGAAGTGTGCACCTTAATCAGATTGGTCTGAGGGCAATACGAACCCGCTGGGCTGGATGGACTCTGCCAGAAGAGAAACACAAAGCCAGGAGCAACTCGAGTGCCACAAAGCACCCTGTCGGGGCAGGGATCCTCAAGCGCTCTGACCTCCTCCTCCAGCCCCTCTCTCACGTGCCCTCACCACTAAATGCACGCTCCGAGCTTCTTCAATTCACAGCCGGGAAGCTAAGTGTGAGCTCCAGTCATGTCCCAAAAAAGAACGAAATTCAGCACAGGCTCTGACGTTTGCCTGAGCTAAGGGAAGAAACGTCCCAGATGGCGATGCAGAGAGAGGGATGGGGGAGGAGAACAAGAAGGAGACCCCAAGAGGCCGGACCCTTCCACGCACTGTCCTCCAGTCTCTGGCAAGGGGACAGCCAGTTCTTCTCAGAGCCCTCAGCAGGCTCCTACTTAACCTAAAAAGGGAATTATCGGGGCTGCTCTTGCCGCATCAAGACACTTCTTTTTACAGAAGCAGCACCCCAGGCATCCTTCCACTTCCACACCTTCCTCTTAAAGCCTACGGGATGCACTGGGGAGGCGACAGCACACGCTCAGCTCTGGCTGTGAAGGCCAAACCCTGACCCCGTCGGCTCCCACCTGCTCTCAGCATCTCTCCCTGCAGCCCAGCACCCCACGCTTCCCTCACGACTATTTCGGGACAGCGGGGGGACCTGCAAGCTCCTTTGCCTTGCAGATATCCGCAGGCAACAACCAGGCGGCATCCCTTCAAACGGGGACAGCAGCAGCCTGCCTGCACACAAACACGAGATACTGAAGGAAGGAAGAGCAGGAGAAGCGCCCGCTGTAAAATACAATATGCTGCTCCAGTATCTCTGTGTGGGTCTGCAGGGAGGCTGAGGATGATTTCTGTTTGCAGGATCCTTTAGCTGGTGAGGAGGATGCTAGGTGTTTAGGAAGCACGGGTGTTTAAAACTGCATAAGAGTCCGTGAGGGTGAGCGGTACTTCTGAGAAGCAGGAGGCCGTACCCTTGACGAGAAAATGCCTATCCAGACAAAGGTAGGGAGATGTTTCTGCTTGCAGATATGAGTCAGCAACTTCAAAATTATGAAGAGATCTTTTCATTTGTTTGGGTTTATGCGTTCACGGGTGTTGTTAAAAGAAAATCCCAATATACGAATTGAAAAGCACTCTCAGCTCTGACAATCTTTGTTTAGAAAGCATGATAAAACTATATATGAAATGTGAGTCCATTTCTTAGTGTTATTGGAGCACAGAAAAGCACATTTTCTCCAGTGTTTAGCACACATTTCAGATGGCTTTCTGGGCTGCAAAACGTGTGTTTTATTATTTAAGCCATCAGCTACTTGTCTTCCTCGAGAGCAAACAGCTCCCGTTGCATTCAGGAGGTCCTGCACAGGGGCCTGGCTCTGGCACGCAACTGTCCCACACTGGGCAGCCCCCCTGTGCCTCATGAAGCCCCTAAAAAAGTGGCAATGCAACTCATCTGCATTACATTCAGGCTGAAGGATCGATCCTTGCTCTCACACAAGCCTCAGAGGGACCTGCCCAGGCGGAGGGAGGATACCTCAGCGCTCAGGGCCTGCAGGAGGACATCTGCAAGTCACAGCCGGGGCCTGAACACGCAGTCCCCACTGCCTCCTCTGCATTAAGGGGCGAAACTTGAAACATAACCGAGTCAGAGACATTTCCCAGGCAGTCCTGACATCAGATGTGACACGCCTGGCTGCGACATGCAGCCCTGGAAGGAAGCCAGCCCGAGGAGCGCTGAGGGGAGCGCGGTGCCGAGCGGCCTGGGCACCGCGCCGTTCCCCCGACGCTGCAAACAACTTTCTCTGTTTAAGAAATCCCACAGCGATCGCACGGACAGCTCGGGTCTAGGCTGATAAATGAGATTTAGAAAGCAGCCCCAGCCCAGAGAGGGTGTCGTGTCTGACAGCAGAGCTACAAACACTGCCTGAGCTGCTCCATGCAACATGTGCAATCCAGCGAGCTGCAGGCGGCTGCTGAAGGGATTTTAAAGAGTGGGAAGTTTGGTGTTTCGGATGCAAAGCTAGAGGATTTACTTAAGGATGAATTTGGGATTCCTTTTCAGTGGCTCCAAAAGAAATCAACCATGGTGTTAATTCAAGTGCAGTGAGGGCACAGTTTTACATCTGACGTTTTCTGCTAAAAAGTGGATAAAACCTGATGGGGTTATATAGGGTTATGCCACACTGGCACATCAAGCACGTGCAATGCCTTCTGCACGTACAGACTGCAGGGTGAGCAGGTTTCATACCAGGACTTCCACATTCCCAGTTCTCGGGGAGAGATGCAGGGCTTGCACTTTACCTGTTACTCAGCAGCCTTCCTCATCGCTCGCTCCACTTTCTGCTGGCCTTTGCTGGCGAGTGGCCTGCCCACGGAGCTCATAGCGCCCAACAGCTCACCCCAGGGCCACGTTTCCCCAGATGCACCCTCACTGACATGGTTCTGTGGCTCTAACCTGTGCTACAGACACAGCTGCACCCCTTCTGAAGGTGCTTTATATGAGCTCAGCTTATATTATAGCAGCAGACCACTCCCCCAATTAAGGAGATCGCATCATGTTAATTAGCCAGGTAGGCTAATAACTACCCAAGGCATGAAACAGAATTCAGCCGACAACCTGAACCCCTGCTGCTGGTCACAGCCAACTACAGGCTACAATTTTCAAGCGTGTACACGCAGCCAAGTGTGTATCTGTGTGCGTGCACATGCAAGGCAGGCAGAAAAATGAAAAGCAAGCAGCAGCCCCTGGGTGTTTTGTAAGGGATTGCTTGGCGTTCGGGGAAAAAGTGGTGAAGGCAAGTGGAAAGAGGGTTAAAACCAGACAGGTATCCATCAGCTCAATGAAGACTCGAGGGGAAAAGACAAAGGCAGAGGTGGCAGAGGGAGTTAGTGCTCATCCAAGGCAGAGGAAACGCTGGGGAAGGAGCTTCGCTGCCGCGTGAGCAGAATTAATGGGTGGCGCTGGCCGGGCTGCGCTGCTGAGCCACCGCTTCTCAAGGAGCTGTTAATGGGGAACATGGAGAGTTAGGAAGTAATGAGGGCTTTGTCAATACAGCTGTGGGTAAAAGTGGGTAAGGAACCACTTAAGGAGAAAAGCGCTGCACAAATCTGCAACTGCAGATTTCTGTGTTTTCCGGTGCTTAAGAAATTACTTGCAAAAATGTTGGAAGTGTTATAGAGGCTGAGAAGCAAAACACAGCCACGGGACAGATCCTTTTATTAAACCAGAAGCAGCAAGCTAGAAAGAAATCTTGGCAGCAGAGGTCTAATTGACAATTCTCTCCTTTTTTTTTTTTTTTTTTTTAATTCCCAGAAGAGCAGAAGAATGAACAAACCTAAATAAACTGCAGCCCCCCGCAGGTGGAGGTACCAGAGGAGCACTGGCTTCACAGACAGCACCTGGCACATGACAAACGTCTCCGTTGCATCCCAGCTGGATGAGTTAGAGACAGCGGACCCCACGAACAGGTCCAAATCCTCTCCTGTACCTCCACGCCTGCCAAAAGAGCCACCTACATGGTACCTGGGGCCATCAGATAACCCGTCCCAGCAGGACTGGCTTGCGTTGGTGCCAACAGCACAGCCAAAAAGGCAGGGAGTTTATTGAAAACTGATCAGATTGAAAAAAGCACATGATTCTGGAGGGTGCGGGGGATGTCACACATCTGTCTTCTGGTTGGGTTTACTGGAGTTGAGGAAGCGGGGAATCTTTTCCAGATCTGCTGAGAAATCCTGGCCACTTTCCATCTCCCTCCTTGAAAGCAGCCGTTCCCCCCTTCCCCCAGCTTCACGGCACAACCATTTCCCCCTTTTATTTTATGCACGGATAACCACTGTTATAAATACACCTCATTCTTATTTCTCTACCTCCGTGAAGAGCAAACGCTGAGAAACGCTCCCTAGAAAATTCTCCCTAGAAGCGAGGGCTGGATTTATTCAAAGGTAAACGTCCCCTTTTATGCATCCCAGGAAACTTTGCAGGAGGTACAGATTTTTTGTGCTAGGAAGCGCTAAGCCAGGCAGGCCCTACCACTGCACCAGCTGTAGGGATTAAGCTCCAGCTTCCCTCCTGTACCCAGCTGCTGCAGAAGCACACACAGAGCCTTCGCAGCTCCCTAGCTCAACTTTGCTTCAGAGCCCAAGTCCTGGTGGACTGGAGATGGGTAGGAAGGACAGGAGCAGCTCCTGTGGGGCCACCGAGACCTGCAAGCACTGGGGGAGCTCCCTGGTCACACTCCGCAACCCTCTGCAGCCTGGGCATGCACGGTCAGAAGAGGAGGCCAAAACGGTAGCCAAGTTGTCCTTACGTGAGCCAAGGACAGCCCCTGTTCCATGGAAATCCTGTCTATGGCCAGATCCACTCGGTTTCTGGCTTCTCAGCACCAGCAGGGACCCAGAGAGGCCAGGGAAGGGGGAAAAAGCCTCGACTGCCTTCCTTCTCTCTGTGCTTTTCCAACATAAAAGTCATTGTCACAGCCCGAGAAGATGAGAGGGAATAGGGAACAGAGAGAAGGCATAAAGCTTGCAAATATTCTGCATATAAAAGTGTCATGTTTAACAAACCCGCTCCCTCATAAGGCATAAAAACCCATCCCGAAAACCGAAAACACCAGAAATCAGTCACGGACCATAAAGCATGGCCGCATGTAGGGAACAGCACCGATAATCTTTGACAGAAAATACGAAGGGAGGCTTCTCGGAGCACTAAATAGAAGTCAGCTGAACCAGGCTCCTTCCTGGGCAGCACAGGACACTCGCATCCAGCTGGGGAGGCATGCTGCAGAGCACAGCCAGTGGAAACATCTAGGCACGTGTTTAAACCTGCATCACTTCCACTTGTGTTTTCCAGCGCTAAGTACTACCGCATGTTTGATTAGGCAATAGAAGGAGTATCTGTTCCTTCCAAAGCTGACCACAAACTCTTGGCAATAACACCGAGTACTTACTTTGGCCCTAAACCACACAGCACAGTTGTTAAACCGGCCTTCCAAAGCGAGGCATCTTGCCAAACTGAATATTCGTAATAAAGCGCAGAAGAAAAATTGCATCTGGCTTTATATAATCAGTATTTCAATGGCTCTCACAAAGACAAGATATATTAAGACTACCTCAGGAAAAGGAAAACCTAGTAAAGCAAATGCTAGAAGAGATTTTTCAAATATTCTTGCCCTTTTTTCTTTCCACAGGGAAGTCTTTAGAAATCTTACAAAACCAGAGCCTCATTTTTATTCACTTTTCTAATCCCACTGGTCCCAACGGCATTACTCCCACAGATGAGGACTACAAATCAGGTGAGGATATTTTCTAATTTCAGTCCCCACTTTTAGCGCAGTACTAACCACAAACACTCTTGTTCACGATTTAGTCCTTCTACTATGGAAAGGTTGGCTAGCAAATCATGAAATTACAAATAATTTTAAAGACATGAAAAAATAATTTTGAAGACACAAAAATCCTGGAGTTTTGTAACTTTCCTGCCTCCTTTTTTTTTTTCATACTTGAGAAAAAACAGAGCAAAAAGCAAAAACCATACTCACTGAGTGACCCAAACCGGGAAAGAAACAAAATGCCATCCGAAGGAAGATGGCAAAGTTCCCAGTAACATCATTAATGCCAGAGTTTCATCTTGCATGATTTTCTATGAGCCAGTATAAAAATATTTCAGTGAAGATATCATATTATATACCGCTCACAATTATACAGATGATGACATACTCAAATGCTGCTTTTAAGATGCAAACCCCACAGTGAAACAATAACCAAGCCCCGTACATGTGGCTGTCAGGGCATGTGTGCAAATCAGCGTTTGGCTCACAAATACGGCACGATATATAATATATACATCAGGACATAAATGTGGAGTTCAGCTTCAAAAAAAAGCTTGCATATGCACCACCATGATACACATCCTGAAAATAAATCGCCGTTGCTTTCCAAGCACTGGTCACTCCTCTCATCTCCTTAGCGGTGATCGCTGGTTTTGGGCAGGGAAATAGCACGACATGCCTCAGGCCACAAGCAGAGGCAGAGCTTGGCTCACATTACTAGAGAGGCTGCTGGGTTTTTGACAAGATGACTTTATTTGCTTGGCTGGAAAGCTGTCCTGGTTGCCCTCTGCTGTGCCTCGATGCTAAGCGACTGTTGCCCTCTGAGCGAGGGGATCAGCTGCCCTGTGCCAGGCACCCTGCGTGCCCGTAGGCATTTGGTCACCCCGTCACTGGTTTCAGCAGCATCTCCTCCTCCTCCTCACCTTACAGAAGACCTTGAGTCAGGACAAAGCCACACAATTGCCTCCCCTGCCCTGGTTGTCACAAAAGGGTGGATGAAAGCAGCAGAGCCAGATCTGGCCATGTCCCCAGCAGGATGCCTTGCTGGCCAGGCAGGGGTTCACAGCCCCCGGGTTAATCCTGCACTGGGTACACATCACGGCTGGGCACCTGGCATAGCTGGGGCCCTGCGTCTTTAACAGCCCCTCCTCGCTGCACAGTACTCTATTCATTTTCCACTTCCCAAATCACAGCTGTCAGACCCTATTAATGTGTAGAAAAACACATTTAAACCCAAACCTGCTAGGCCCGAAATAGAAGTTCTCATTTTCTTTTCCAAAACACAGAATAGCTGAGCAACAAAGAAAGAAAACGGAAATCTCTACCAAGTGCACATCTGGAATCAATTTGCTGTATGTAGCCACTGGGTGTCACTTTTGATATATATTGGGTCAGCCATGGAGCACTTCAGCAAGAGAAACGGATTTCAAAAAGGTGATCCCAAACCAAAACAGACTGCTCTGCAGCCTCCTATGCACAAGCTGTAATTAGCAATTAGCCAGCAACGCTGATTTATCAGCAAAACCTCTTCACAAAGATATTAAATACACCGTGAGGTGGCTCTTACCTCTCAGTCTGCAGCGTGACTTTGGACGGCTCCACATTTGGGTTCTCCCACTCCATCTGCGGGCAGTGCATGAAGTAGCAGAGGGTGTACAAAGCCTCGGGCTCCCAGTAGAGCGACCCCTGCTTCTGGTGCATCGGCGTGCCGTTCCCGTGCTGCTTGGCGTTCAGCGGCTGGAGGTGGTGCATGGCTCGGGACACCAGGTCACCTGGAAAGCAAGATTTGGGTGAGCACCACGCTTTTAGCCCTCTATCCTTCCCTCACGCTGCCACCTTTCCCCCAGTTTTTCAAACCAAGAGATACCAAATCAAGAACACCAGGCTGTTTTCCCCTGCCGTTTAACCTCAGGTATGTAACCAGGAAAAGGTAGAACAGGATCCTGTGCGCTCATTATTCGTCGCCAGTTCTGACTTTGCCTGGTTGTTTACAGTGTGGTGACATACCTGGGCTGCACACAAGCCCCTGAAGGCCTGCAGGGACGTGTTTCTGTGAATACAATGCAGTCTCTGCTCATCCAGCCCATCCATCACCAGCTTCTCTACGGGGATCTTACAGGGGACAGTCCCTAAGGCCTTCCTGAAGACCAGGTAGCCAATATCTGCTGCTCCCCCTCATCTACCGAGCCAGTCGTTTCCTGGCAGTCGGGACAATGCAGAGTGGCCCCGAACTCTGCATTCTTGTGGTTAGGCAGTGCCAGGGAAATCCTGGGGCAGCCACGCACATCCCGGCACGCTGCCCTGGGTGCCTGCCCAAATCCCAGCCCCTTACCCCATAGGGGTGGTTGCTGCCCCCAAAACAAGGAGGGCCACACCTATGGATGGACCTGTGAGCAGAGCTGGTCCCACGGCTCTGAAAAACGAGGCTTCAGGCAGTACCATCAGAAATGTGCAAGCCGAAATTACAATTTTTAAGCCCAGGCTGGTCTAGAAAGCATCATAATGTTAGCAGAACAGGAAATCTGAGACATGGGCCCACCTGAGCTGTTCAGGGGACCAGGGAACAGAAAATGGCCCATCAGAAAGATGCTCATTGTCTCCCTCTACGATCATGTGGTGCCGAAAGTTTCCTCGCATTACAGGTAAGGGAAATAAGCTGCAACATGCAGGCCGTGATCGGCAGACCCAGCAAATGAGATTCGGTTAGCAGGCAAATGTAGAGGCAGGAGCACCGACTCTCTAAGCACTATACTGCTTGTAACTAATTAGCTAAAGGATGTCCCTCTGAGGCAGTGGATTTTATGATGTTAGCTGTCTAGTGACCACTATATAAAAGGCAGCAAAACAATTTTGGTCATAAACGGCCTGTTTTCACGTGTTCAAATCATTCTGAAGGTTCTTTGGGGGAAAATAATGATTTCTGATCAAATCAGATGGTTTGTTTTAAATGAAAATCTTAGCAAAAGCCCTTTGGGTCATTCTTGAGCTATACAAAAGCAAGTGATAGGGAAAAGAAGGCATAATTTTCCCATTCGAAGAAAAACTCACACACTTCCTTTTATTTAGTTTTCCCAAATGACCACTGAGCACTGAAACTTGGAAGGAAAAGTTGGAAACATACACTGAGGTAGGAACGTAACACCAGCTCTGAAAACAAACCAAAACAACAAGAAAAAAGCTGAACAATGAGCCTACAGACAAACTTCAAGAATGATTTTGCTTGTGTGCAAGGCAGAGAAAAAGCTTTTTTTTTTTTCCCCAAAAAATCCCACCCCTGGTAACACATCACAGTACCTCCTCTCTCTGTCCAGCCTGACTTGCACAGGGAATGCTGCTGCTGCTGCTGCTGAGATAACGTGCAGCAGGGAGAAGAGAAACATCTCACTGAAAAACGTTCAGCCCAATCCTCCAAAAACACAGTCTTAAAACCATGAGCAGACGAAAACCACTGGCATGAGAAAACTGCCGAGTCCATGATTTCAGGGTTTTGACACAATTTTTGCTGCACTCTGCAATATTCTTCTGATTCAAAGCTTTCATTTAAAAATAGTTTCTGCCTTTTCCCCCTGCCAGGAAATTGTCATGATAGGACCAATCTTGCAGCCCTGCATGCTCATAATTTCCAAGAGAAGCTGTGCATGCAGAAAGCCTGCAGAATCGGGTCCCCGAGAGGCACAGATGTGCCTCTGAGATGATTAAACAGTCCTGCTCAAAATCATCTGCAGTCGAGGAGCAGCAGCAGGAAAGTTTGGGACAGCCATCACTCATCCCGTTCTGTCACAGCAGAAGTGCTTTGCCAAGACACACACGGGGACATTCAACTGCTAGCAACATCACCGAGAGCAGAAGTCAAATCTTTTTTTCTGCAAAAGGAATGAAGATTGTGTAGAAGTGCTAAGTGCAACATCCAGGTTTAGCAATAATTGCAAAAGCAGAAAAAAAAGAGTTGCACTAAATTCAGTCTTTTCAGGCCCGAGGCACCACGGCAATGCAGCATGTGGTTATGGTTAAGCACACGACCAGTCCTCGTTAAGTGGATTGGGATGGCACGCATCGGAGAACTCCTCTGGTTTCTGTACCACCAGATGAATAAAATCAGGGCACAGTTTAGGCCAAGGCTCAGTCAGCAGCATTACTTCACCCACGTTCCTCATCAAGTGCCGGGGCAGTGCGACTTGTATGACACATCCAGCACTGGGGGAAGCGGCACGGTGAGTAAGGAGGAGCAGCAGCAGCAGGAATGACGTGCGCAGGGCAGCCAGCTCAGCATCGCTGCTGATGCAAGCCTGGAGGGACTCGAGCCTCACTGGGATCGATGGCAAAACTGCAATCAATTTCACTACGACCGGGAGTTCATCCTTTTATTCTGCATTTCCTCAACTGCTTCATAAGGAAGTCAAAGCAATTCATGCCATTAAAGCTCAATTAATGCTTCTTATGTATAAAGCATCATTTAATTACATTATACCAAGAATTGATCGGCTTAGATCTTGCTATTCCCTTTGCTATGTTATCTCTGGTTACACTTGAAATACAGGCTCTACCAACAATTATTATAACATTCCTCCATCAGAGACAACTCAAGGCTTAAATAATCAATACCTATAAAGCACTGAGCTTCAGAGAGGGCAGTAAGCAAGCACAAAAAGCCACATTATGATCTTGCTGTCTACCAGGCAAAGCACTGAGCGGAGGACAGGGATCTCAGGTTTCTATTTCATTCCGCTGTGTAACCTTGCAGCAGCCACTGCACCCCCCCGAGCCCTTCTCCTCCTCCAGCCACATCCTGTTACGGAGCCAAATCTTCAGGGCAGAGCTGGGGTCTGTGCACATCGGGGCTGAGGATGGAGCTGGCAGGTGTGTGTGCACTGTACAGCAGTATTTATGCATAGACTGCAAAACGTAGGGTGGCGTAACAACTGGTTTGAGATGTACATGTGCTGTTTCAGACCCCAATGTTTTGATGTACCTGTTCCTCCTTGCTAAGGTGCTTTTGGTCCGCAACCCACCTGAGGAGCAGACCCGGGAACCCAACTGCCTGCTGATGAAACCCCTTGCCAATGTTACTATCGTTTTAATTTAAACCAGATAAACATTTCCACAATTTGTGCAGCACGAGCCAAACGAGTCGCCGCACAAACTGTTCCGCTGGCAGAGCCACGGAGAGCAGGCATCACATCGCGTGGGACGGACCAGGAGACGAGCAGGCTCGGGAGGGAGGATGTTGGTGCTGCCAGAGCTTGGGAGACAGCAAAGACAGGAGCAGGCCCCAGGCTGGAGATCGGCAGCCCTGAGGAGAAACGAGGTGCTGGACATACCTGGCAGCAAAGGAGGGGAGAAACCAGCACCACGCGAGCCTCCAGCATTTCGTCCCTCCCACGACCACGAGAGGAATGGCCCATGACTGCTGCTGTCAATTCAGAGCTTTGCGGGAAGGCAAGACCCACATACATTCGATTTAGAGACTCAGAGCATTACGTAAGGCGCGTGCCGTGACACGGGCCTGCTTTGAGGCCATACTGAATATTTAAGGAACAGCTCCACCGACTGCAGGCCGAAGATGTGATGTGACAGGGAAAGTTCAGCCGCACGGGGGTGGTACGTTCAGCAACCCACAGCACACAGCCCGGCTGCTCGAGCCCTCTCGACAGCGACCAGCTAAGCATTTTTTTTGCCTGCGTTTGCCTCCAGTAAAAGCCGCTCTCAGCGCTGTGACTATTTCAGAGCCCAATGCTTACAGAATAACAGATCGATCTCAAGTCTTGTAATAAACAATGGGGAAAAAAGAAGGAAAACAGAGGAGGAAGGAGGAGGAAATCATAGATGCCCAATACCCACTTCTGAGAAGCTTCCTGCAGGATTTTATGATCTGGCTTGATGGACTTGATCATGGTTTTCAGAGGGATAGCCTTGCAAAGCCTACATTGTTCAGCTGGGTGTGTGCTTGCATAACCACGACCATAACCACGACAGGTGAATGACAGTGGACAAATCCTTGCAGAGCCACTCCCGATGACACCTACCTCAAGTTTTTCTTGTTCCAAGAAACATGCTCTAAAGCCTCAAGAACAACTTGTAAACAGTGTTTCTGCACACTGATAAGGCACACACTTGTTCAGCCCACGTCTTTCCTTCAAAGCCCAGGGGAGGGACCCCAAATTGTCCTGTTAAGGCATGGTGCAAAGCAGCAGGCCGTGTTTCTGGCACACCATGTGATGGCCTCCTGCCAGCAGCACCCATCAGTGCAGTAACAGAGCTCTGCTCACCCCTCCAGGACTCTGGTTTGTGTGCAGCCTGTTCTGGGGAATCGTGCCCTGTGGTGGAGCTTGTTGACAGTGAGTATTGCTGCTTCGCTGTGCTACCTGGATGAGGATGAACATGTTCTCCCAACAGAGCAGGCCAGAGCCACGAAACGGACCTTCAGATCTGTCGATGTCCTTCTGTGATCTGTCCACATCATCAAGAGAAGTGCTGGCCAGAGAGCTGCACTCCAGGCGCCAACTTGCACAGCATGGCCAGAAGCTTTCAAAGTCTGCCCCGTTGCAAGCACACGACTCAGATTCAAAACTCACTTTCTTGACATGGATTTGCTTCGCAGCTCAGTGTAAAAACCTTGGATCTATGTATGGCTTTTGCTGAGGGCAGACTGTATTGAAAAAGTGAGTTATGAGCCTGATAAAAAACCAAGATCCACCCAGGCTGATTGCTATCTGGTAGCCATGGCATCCTGCATCCTTCCTACAGCATAGCAAAGTCTCTCCTCCTTTCTGCC